GGAGGGATAAGCAGGAATCCTAGCCGGGAAGGACAGGAACAAGGCCTGGCCTGGCTCTGTGGATGCAGCTGGGACAGATGAGAGCCCTGGGAAATCCTTCCACTTCTAATTCAATGCCTATGCTCAGTTCTTATTTTCCAGGATGGAAAAAAATCTCGACTCTGAAAGGTCAGCTTCCAATTGTTGAATCTCCCTCTCTGGCCACACCCACCGACTCCCACAAACGGGCCCTGCAGCTCTGAAGGTCACTCTGCCCAACAACAGAGGAACAGGAACCTTCTAAGCCTGCACTCCTTTTCGCCAGGTTGCTTTGCCAGCTGACAGTCATCAGCCGCGTTAAAATTCCTGGCAGGTCCCCTCTGAACCCGCCATTATTGGCACAGAGGGTAAGGAAAAGAGGGCATTGGCTCCTAGAGACCGGGAAAAGGAGGTGAATTCAAGACATTCGGGTTCTGTGGTCCATCTCCTCGTTCATTTCTGCTATCGCTTCTCGTCGCTCTGGAGAAGTCTAGTGGAAATTTCTCGAGATCTACTTGGCAGTCCCCTTAGCTACCAGACCATTACGGTCCCAGAGATACTTAGTTCAGGATTTTCGTTGTGCTACTGCTGACCAAGAAGGAAGAGTGTGAGCACAATTATCCAGAAGGCAAATACTTCCGGAGTCAGCACCATCCTGGCTCCTTTTCACCAGGGACTTAGGCTGTTCCTACCCGGGGAACGGAGGTCCACACTTTCTTTCCAGAGAGGTAGCATTTTTGTCATCATGTCTATTCCACACAAGAACACAATTAGGGGAGATTGCCTCAACAGAGGAAGCTGATTAAGTTCACAGATTCATTGCAAAACCATCCGGGAGTTGTGGAAAATGAGTTTCACTGCTAAGCTTTCTTACTTTAAGGAGAAAAAAAAAAAACCCACCAAACTGCACCTTGAATTATCCGTCTATAACAGATCATAAAATACCCATAGTCTTCCATGTAGTTTATTCATCTCGAGAGAGATGCTGAATGCTTCTTCCAGGTTCTTAGTACCGTCCCAAGAGTTCAGTGATTTTATGGGATGGGGTGGTGGGGGTGGGTAGGGCAAGGGGGTGGTTCTGACCCTACAGTAGGGTTGGGCAGACAGTGGCCTGCCGCCAGGATGCATGTCACAATAGAAGACTGTACTTTGCGGAGCTTGCACACCAGTGGGCAGGTGAGCCTTGTTTTGTTTTGAGTCCCGGGAAAGCTGCTGTAAATAGGACTGATGTAAAACGGAATCCACTTTCAATAGCAACGAAGACAGCATTAATGATGCACTTTTGACCTGAGTCCTGGAGAAGTAATCAGAAGCCATACTTCCAATCCTTGCTTTCATGGGGGTGCCAACACATACAGTTTCAGCTTTCACTTATTTAAGACAGTATTTTCCATGCTGTTGCTGATAGGCTTGCCCAGCTTCTTCAGAATACATGGGGTTTTAGGGTGAGAGCGTTCAAAATGGTGCTCCATGCAGTGTGCCCCTTCATTCAGAATCCTTAACACTTGAATAAAAGGGAACAGTTCATAAAACTCTACCTGAACTAAGCATTTCTGTTTTTATTTTATCAAATCAAAATTTCAAGAATACCGAGATGAACATGATCTCATTTGCCACACGCAGGGCTTCAGCGTTGGATTGGTTTATTGAAATGAATGATTAAAAGTACAAGTTGGCTTCAAATCCATTCTCGTTGCCCGGTCTATGATCATTAACCACTAAGCTTATCTCGTTTCTGATACTCTATCACGGGACTGCTAAATGGACCTTAATTCACCATTGCTTTGTTTAAAACAGTAAAAACCGCAATTGAGTTCCTTTCTAGCCCTAACAGGTGATCATCTTTGCTGGGATCTGTAGTTTTCAGTAATAGAGCCCTCCTGGTATCTCTCTGGGTGATTGCTTTCCCAGCATCATATCATTGTCTTCCTGTCTTCCAGGGCTTCCCTTCCCATAATCCCTTCAAGCATGCTTTTTAGGATTGACATCTGTATGTCTGTTGGATATACAAAGGTGTAAGGGATCAGGCTGGTGCTGGGTTTGTAATCTACCTTGGATAAAGCAAATTTGCTCTCAAAAGTCAAGAGTGTAAATCATGATAAAGAAATGATGTTCAATGTCTAGAATCTTATGAGATTTACATCTCTTTCCTCTGCCTCCTCCTTCTCCTCCTCCTCTTCTTCTACAGAACTATAATTCAGGAATGCACGTAGAACTGTCCTCTCTAAACAAGAAAAATAGGCCAGTGGGTCTTGCTGTCTTGCTGCCTCCTGGTCATCACCCTGTAAGAGCTGCCAAGTTCAGGACATCTCTGTGCAGAGGCACAGAGAAAGCAGAGCAGCAACGACACAAGAAGAAACATGATCCACAGAGGGTCAAGAGCCCACTGGTGGAGGCACAGATGCAGGAACTCCTGGCTCACTTTGTATAATGTGGAATCTAAGATTTAGATTTCTTGTATTATTAATATCTTATGGTGAAATTATATAAGAGGAGAAAGAGGATTGGGGACAGGCAAGGGGTGATTTGGAATCCTTCAGTTAACCTCAAGTTAACTGTTAACCAAATCTGGAAAACACGCACAAGGGCAGTAGGCTCAGACAGGAAAGTGCTTGCAATGTGCGCATGAGGACCCGAGTTTAGACTCCTCAAACATACTTTAAAAGCTTAGAATGTTAAGACACACCTATAATTCCAGTCATGGGAGACAGGAGGATTTCTGGAGCTAAGCAGCCATCAGTATTACTACAAAGTGGGCTTCAGATTCTGTGAGAGACCCTGTCTCAAAACAATGAAGTGGGGGACGGTTTCAGAAGATCCCTAAAGTCGCTCTCTGGCCCCCCCACACAAGTAAACACAAACACACTCACACTCCTACTTGGGAATCACACTGACTACTAATGACATCTCTGGTACAGACACTTGCTCCGGAAATGGGACTTTTGAGGCGGGCAGAGTGAAGAGTGCAGCTATTATCAGTGACTCGGTCATAGCAGGGGTTGAGTCCAAAAAGGAGAAGGGATGTGCTCAATTCTGTGCCATTTCACATGACCCCTGACCTTTTCATTTCCCTTCACCTCAGTGAAGCTGGTTTCCTGGACAGACTTAGCTATGTCTAGGAACACATCTGTGACAGGATCCATCCTGCTTTTGCCACTGCCGACAGTCAGGACTAATTTAATGATCACCTAAATGGACTCAGCCCTTCCTTTCTCCATGAACCAAAGGCCCTGCATAGATTACTGCTGTGTGCAGAGGGGTTTTGTTGTTGCCTCTGCTGTCGATACGCTCCAAAGGTTTTCCCCTTTGACCTCCAGAACATCTTCGAAGGCGGGAACTATCATTAGTTGTGTGAATACACCGAGTCTTGGGGAGAAATGGATGTTTAAGAACACATCTTTCCGGGGCAAGGCAAGGACAGTCTGCTCAGGCCTGGCATTCTGTGATCTGTACTCGCCACAGTGAGCTCCCATCCCAGCCTCAGTGTCACAGTATGACTGGACAGGAACACCTTTTACCGAATTACTTTGCTAGACAGATCAGGTACGTTCTGGAAATATAAATAGAAAGGAAAAAATGTGGGACCCATGTATCAAATGTGAATCTGTGAATGCTATTACTGTAAGTGGGACCTCCAATGTTGCTGGGGGAAAAACCAGGAGATCATTTATTTCTGGAGAAACACTAATTATATGATATATAAATTCATCTGGATACAATTGCCATGAGTACCAATGTTGCCTGAAGCCCATGCCAACTTAATGTAGCTGAATCACAGTTGACATATTAGAGTTTGCTCTGTTTCTCTACCTTACCAAAAACACTTAGAATTGCTTTTTAGTCATTTTAGTTTTTGAAATACCACATACAATAAGGCCTTTTCTAAAATTAGGTTATCTCATAGGAAATAATAAAAAAGAAAATGGATATAGGGCCAAGAATATCAGTTGTTACATGAAAAGCTTTTAGAGTAAGGTAGAAGCTATTGGGCAAAGAGGTGTGGATGCTGCTCCATGGCACAGCAGTTGCCCAGCTGGCAAAGTCCCTGGGTTCAATCCCTAGCACCTGAAGAAACTATTGAGTAGTAAAAAGATATGAGCTATCAAGTCACACAAGAAGGGGAAAGGTTATCCCAATGTCTAGCTAAAGATGCTGGTCTGAGTGACCACTGGGATGATCCTACCTCTATGGCATTCTGGAACAGGTAAAGCTGGAGAGCGGGAAAGCATTGGCACCTGCCTGGGGAGAGTGGGAGGTGGGAACGTGGGTGATCTGGTAGAGCACACAAGACTTTGAGGGTAGAAAGACTCCTTTATAATTTCCCGTACAGTGGTAGGTATGTGTCATAATACTGACCAAGCACACCATGGACAATGCAGAATGAATCTACAGTAAACTGCGTACTTGGGATGTAATATAATTAGTATAAAAGAGTATTGTTACTGACTTATCACCCGTTTAGCAAATCCTAAATGCAAATGACATTGCTAGGGAAAAGTAGAAGGAGGTGCTGGGGAACAGGAGGCAAGTCATTGTATTGTCTTTGTGTTTATCATAGGAATTTACTCATACAGTCTTAATTTTAAAAATTAAACATGAAGCTGAAGAGACACACACAGTATTTCCGTATTGCCTGTTTTGGGGGGAAGGAGAATATTCTCAAGGCTCCCTAACACCTTGGCACTTGAGCTGTGACAACCACAGAGTATATGAAAGGTCAATTTCATCCTCTCAGTGAGTCATAAAAGACAAGGCAGACTTTGTCCCCAGGAGAATTCACCCCTTGAAACCCTTGCGATGGCAGGAGATAAAACAATACTCCTTATCAAGGCAGATTAACCAGCAAAGACACATTTGCTCTCCATTTATCCTATAGGCTTCTAAGGACAATGGGCCTTTTGTCCTTGTACCTGCGGTGGGGACAAGAGCCAGGACGGAGGCTGCTGAGGGCTAGATGAGGTCATTGGCTTCAGATTTCTTACCTGCGTCTCCAATGATACATCCCATTCTGTAACATGCTTCCATGGAAGAACATGCTCTTAGGATGCAGGGGGATGTGAGCAGGTCCCAGTCTTAGTGGAGGAGAGAGATACAATGAAAATCCTAGCTGGAGGGAAACAGAACATGGCTGTGGCATGGTTCAGCTTTCAAGCAGACTTCAGATATGGGTGCCTTGAAGGTCTTGCTACTGCCTTGATCTCAGCTTCTAGTGTAGCACCAGGCATAGAACAGGGGGCTCACCAGAGGCTCAACAGGTGGATGAACCTTGAGGTCTTGTCTGTAAGAAAAGAACACAGAAAACCAGCTCATCCACATCAGGTTTACCCATCTGCTGCACTAACGTTTCTTGGCTCACGGTTTTACATGTGTGTGTGCTGATGTCCCGCATCCTGAACTCACTTGGAATGGGATCTGTCAGTTTTGACTTTCCCTTTGCCTTTTTTGGGGAACAATGCTCTAGTTTTACTTTGAAGCCACCAACCTTTCCCCTCCTCTTAAAATGTGAAGGCTGAATTCAATACTTCTGTTTCACCTAAGGGGATTGGGTATGGCCAGCCAATCAAGGTGCTGTTTCCATTTTCTCAGAGAACAGCACATAATTCATGGTGAACCCACAAAAATCTCCTCCTGGAAACTCACTGGATGGTCTGTAGTGCTTTGGCTGCCCATGACCGGGTAAGCCTAAAGCGGAAGGGCTAGAATAGAACAATTGCTGTTTAAGTATGAGGATGCGAGTTAAATCTCTGGAATCCACATAAACACCAGGTGGGTGTGGCGCCTGCCTGTAATCCAAATGCTTGGGAGACACAGACAAGGACCCCAGGAACTGCTGACAAGCTAAACTAGCTGAAGCTGCAAGCTCTGGGCTGTAATGGTGAGACTGTGCCTCGGTGAATAAGGTGGAGAGTGATTAACTAAGACTCCTAGGGTCAGCTTGGAGTCTATTTACCTACACACACACATACGTACATACACACAAACACACATATTCATACACATATATACACACATACACACACACATACATACATACACATACACACAATACATACATACACACGTACATACATACATACACACAACACACACATATTCATACACATATATACACACATACATACATACATACATACATACACATATGCACACATACACATACACACAATACATACATACACACGTACATACATACATACACACAACACACACATACACACACAAATACATACACACACATAAAAGTCTGAAACTAGAGCTAGAGGTACACATGGCCAGACCTCTGAAGAAAGGGATGTCTGTTAAGATAGATACGAGAGGCATACAGAGTACCATTAAGACAGCCTGATGAAGGTTAATATTCAGGAGGATGCCAACTGGCCTGGGTCTGAAAAAACCTGGCATAAACTGGACTCGCTGAACATAGAGGACAATGAGGACTACTGAGAACTCAAGAACAATGGCAGTGGGTTTTTGATCCTACTGCACGTACTGGCTTTGTGGGAGCCTAGGCAGTTTGGATGCTCGCCTTACTAGACCTGGATGAAGGTGGGTGGTCCTTGGACTTCCCACTGGGCAGGGAACCCTGATAGCTCTTTGGGCTGACAAGGGAGGGGAACTTGATTGGGGGAGAGGGAGGGAAATGGGAGGTGGTGGCGGGGAAGAGACAGAAATCTTTAATAAATAAATAAACCGAAAAAAAAGAAATAAAATAAAAAAAAGACAGCACCCAAAAAAACTCTTCATAATATATAAATACAAACATTAAATATACAGAATGAAGGAAGGATATTAAAAATTGAAAGAAAAAAATACCAAGTAACATATGCAAACAGACTTATGAGAATAACACCTAATTTCTCAATGGGGAATTTGAACTCTGGAAGGGCCAAGATTAATGCTCTACAAGTTCTGGAAGACCACAGGTGTAAACCCCGACTCCTATACCTAGCAAAACTATCACTTACAATCAAAAACTTTCCATTATAAAAAGAAATTTAAGGAATAATCTTAAAACAATTATACAGAGGATAATAGAAGGAAATATTTGTTTGAAGTGAAGATTAAACACACCCAAAAAAATCACAAGGAATAAATAACACCAGAAATGTTACTCAAAATAAGTCTAAGAAAACAATATCATAACAATAACAAGGATTAGTAAACACTGTTCAATAATAACTCTCAATAGTAATAGCCTCAATTCCACAATAAAAAGACACAGATTGACAGACTGGATTAGAAAATGTGATCCATCTTTCTGCGTCCTCCAAGAAATACATCTCACTATCAAGGGAAGAAACTACATTAAGGTAAAAGGATGGGAAAAGGTATTCCAAGAGGGTAGAACTAAAAAACAAGCAAGCATAGCCATTTTAATAGCATGTAAAATATTCTTCAAACCACAAATATTCAGAAAACATGGGAGAGTACACTACACATTCATTAAAGGAAAAAATCATCAAGAAGATGTTACAATTCTAAATATCTACACCAAACACAGTAGTACTCAATTTTATAAAAGAAAAATAATTATATTCTAAAATCACATATTGATCCTAACACAATTATAGTGGGTGACTTTGCTACTCCACTATTATCAACAAACAAATCATTCAGATGGAACTTAAATAGAGAAATGTTGGCATTAAATAACATTATAAATCAAATGATCTAACAGATTTCTAAAGAGCATTCCATTAAGACCCTAAATACAATTCCTTCTCAGCAGTCATGGAACTTCCTACAAATTTGGCCACATATTAGGACATAAAGCAAGTCTAAAGAAATAACAGACTACTGAAATAACAATCTGCATTCAATCTTACTATGAAGGAATAAACCTGGATCTCAGCAACAATAGAAATGTTATTTTTAAAAAATATACACTCATGGAAAGTAAACAACACAATACTGAGTGAAAATTGGGTCAGGAGAGAAATCAAAAAATTAAAATCTATGGAATATAATTAAGGCTAAAGGAACATTTACAGCTCTAATGAGCCTACATTTAAATAAATAAATCAATAGATAGATCCTGTATTAATAACTTAATGATATCTTTGAGCTTTAGAAAAGCGAGACCAACTGATAGAGGGTTAGTATCTAAAATATAAAGACATAAAATAACTGAACATCCTGAAAACAAATAACACAATTAAAATTAAATATGCGGTAAAGAACTAAGCAGAGAATTCTCAAAAGATGAAACACATAGAAAGGTATGACATACTTAAAGAAATGTTCAATATCCTTAGCCATTGGAAAATGCAAATTAAAACCACTTTGAGATTTCATCTTACATCAGGGTGGCCAAGATCAATAAAACAAATGATAACACATGCTGGTAATGATGCAGAGAAAGGAAAGCACTTGTTCATTGCTAAAGGGAGTGCAAACTGGCCCAGCAACTATGGAAATGAATCGGTGGTTCCCCAAGAATCTTGGAATGGATATACCTCAAGATCCATCTATATCACTCTTAAGCATATATCCAAAGAACTCTACATCCTACTACAGAGACACTTGCAAAACCATGTTCATTACTGCTCTTTCATAACAGCCAGAAGCTGGAAACTACCTAGATATCCTCCCTCATTCGATGAATAAATAAATAAAACATGTCACATTTAAACAATAGAATATTATTCAGCTGTTAAAAATGAAATTATGAAATCAAAAGGTAAACATATGGAGCTGGAATTAATCCTTCTGAGTGAGATAACCCAGAGTCAGAAAAACAAATATCATGTATTTTTTCTCAGCTTTGAATCTTTAGATATGTGCTTCATTTGTAATACCCATAGAGGTTATAAAATTAGTAAAGTATATAGGATATTTCAAGGGGGAGAGAGGGGAGAGATAGAACACAGTGTTAAACAGGGAAAAAATAAAACAGGAGTGATTAAATGGAGAGTTAAATGAGAAGGCAGGTAGAGTAGGGGAATATAGGAAGGGATAACTAATACTGAAGACATTTTTGAGAAAGTCATACAGAAGTTTATTACTATAGAAACTTCCTAAAACATATGCTTACATGTTTATAAAAAAAAATTTAAATTGAGTTTTTTTCTGTAATGAACCAGCTGTATCTCTAGTAGATACCATAGGATAACAAATAAAAGCCCAGTGTCAGAGGTGCAGTTGTGGGCAAGTGATGTTACACAGACCTCCAAATATTACAAGATATTGCCAGTGCCCTTGGTTGCCCTCTAGAACTTCACAGTGAGACATCACATACTGAGTCCCGGAACAAGGAGAAGACAAGCTGGTATTCACCTGAAAGCTTCATTCCAACTATTTCTCATAGGCCTGGAAGGTGCAATGTATACTACCAGGTGAGAAAATTAATAATCTCTTTCAGCTGTGAATGCTACAAGCTACAAAATGTCTAGCTGGGCAAGGTAGTCCCACTGGTTCAATAGTGGCACAAATGTTATGGGAGCAAACAACCACTTTCTGATTGCACTTAAGGTCCACTCCACAAGATGAAACACACAGATGCACAGTTTGTGGGGGAAAATCTGTGGTATGATCAGCTCAAAGGCTCTAGGGGAAAACCTACTACTATTATTCTGCTAAATAAACATAGCATTAAACTGACTGCTGATGAGTTATTGTTATACACATAGAGTAGTAGTGCATCTGTTAACCTTCATTGGATAAGCTAGCTTCTTTTTCTTTTTAGTATGTGATCATTACCTCAAATACCCACAACTGTTCAGGGTGCAAAGAATAAGAGACTGCAACATTCTCAACCCTAAATTGGACATCTATTTCATTATACCCATACCCATACCCCAACTGAAGCTCAGGAGGAAGAGGGGCTGAATGACTGTAAGAACAGAGGTGGTGAATAAAAACTATGAAGAAACATTTTCCTACACAGAAGGTTATTTGCACAGTATGGATTCACAGTGATTCTGACAGCATATACAAGATCTGCACAAGGTCAAGCCAGACAAAAGCCCAGCACGGAGCTAGGGGAGGTGGTAGTGGGGTTTCCCTGACTAAAGAATTATGGACAATTAGAGCTGTTGGGAGAGGAAGGGCCAGTTTTCTTTAAAGGTCCAGCCCATGGTGGGTTGAGCAAAGGCAGAGAATGCCACGTATTCAAGAGTAAGTGAGCAGCAAAAACTATATTTGATGTGTTTCTGTTGAATGGTAAGAGAAGAGACATGGATTTGGTAGGAGTCTGGGAGGGGTGAATACCATGAAATGCACTGTATGAAAGTCTCAGAGAACTAATTAAAAGGAGAGGGATACATTTACTTTTATTGC